CCTCCCAAGTAGCTGGGACTACAGGTGTGTGTCACCATGCCCAGCTAATTTTTACATATTTTTTAGAAGAGATGGGGTTTCACCATGAGGCCAGGCTGGTCTTGAACTCCTGACCTCAGGTGATCCACCCACCTTGGCCTCCCAAAGTGCTGGGATTACAGGCGTGAGCCACCACGCCCCATCCAGCATATAACCTTTTGAGATTGGTTTTTTCACTTAGTATAATTCCCTTGAAATCTTTGATGAATTTCAAATTAAATGGTAGACATCAGCATACTTCTCCCAAAATACTTAAGCATGCGTAGTATTAATCTACAGTTTGATATTTCAGTTTGTTTTTCTTTTGAAGTGAAATTTATATAGAATAAAATGCCCAAATCTTACGGATTTTTTTTTTTTTTTTTGAGACAGAGACTTGCTCTGTTACCCAGGCTAGAGTGCAGTGATGCGTTCTGCCTCACTGCAACCTCTGCTTCCCGGATTCAAGTGGTTCCCCTGCCTCAGGCTCCCTAGTAGCTGGGATTGCAGGCGCACACCACCATACCTGGCTGATTTTTGTATTTTTAGTAGAGATGGGGTTTCATCATGTTGGCCAGGCCGGTCTGGAACTCCTCACCTCAGGTGATCCACCAGCTTCAGCTTCCCAAAGCGTTAAGATTACAGGCGTGAGCCACCTCACTCAGCCCCCTTTAGATTATTAATCAAAAGATAGAATTGTAGCTTTTTAAAAGGAAATAAGTTTTACTGTACTCAACTGTATCTCTGGGTAACTCAGGTCACAAATACCATACACATTCAACTGCATTTTAAAATTACTTGCTGCTACCAAAATATTATTACCAGTTTTGCTATTCTTCAAAGATATAGCATAAATTAGACATCTGTTAATGTCAAAATTAAAATGTACCAATACAAAAGTTATTGTGGCAAGAGACTTAACGCTAATGTGATGGTTGTTGATACAGAATTGTTACTGAGAAGGGTGAAATTTAAAGCCCTTGTGCCCTGTGAAGAAATTGTGAAATATATAAGATCCAACTATTTATCATTTTATTGGTGTCACTTCGTAAAAATCCTGTTATGTTTTCTATAAGAATGCTTTTTACTCATATTTTGGATTCCAGAGTTTAGATCCCACTTAGTTTGCTTTAAAGTTTTTGGCTTTCAGTTTTATTTTCCATGGTTTTAATTATATAGCTTATTTAAAGCTAATTTTAAGTACACTTTTTTTCCTCAAGGAGATGAAGCCTTGTCTAAATCAGTGCCTGTCACAGTGGATGATGATGACGACGACAATGATCCTGAGAATAGGTATGATTCCATCTGTAAGGACTTTAAAAAGATTATAACACACCCTAGGCATGGGCACAAACAGCAGCAACGGAACAGCAAGCAGGTTGTAAAAACCAGGAGTGCCTGCCTTAGAAAGACTCGCTCACAGTCTTCCTGCAAGTTTGAAAGAAAGGCCAGAAAATGGGCTAAAACTCAGAAACCTTGAGAGAAAGTAAATATTATTTACACACCTAGCATAGGGTGTGTTATAAATACAGAACTGTCAATTTTATGTTTCTATGTAAACTGCGATAATTTTTTGGAATATTTTATTTTTGACAGATTATTGATGAAAGTAAATATTTCAATAAATTGGTGACAACAGACATCTCTATATTTGACTATTGTTAATTGCCATCCAATATGATGGTCCTATTTATTAAGGCCTGTTGAGAATAAACAAAAAGAGAGATTACTCAGATTTTTAAGATTAAGAAATTGCTTTCCAAATAAGTGTCAATTTACAAGGTATCTAGACTGAGTTAGAGTTTAACCAGTTTTCAAATAAAATAGAAATACACAGTATGAGAGCATTAACTTTAATAAGACTTAATAGATTTAAATGTCAAAAGCGTAGCCTATACAGATATACTCAAGTAAGGGATGGCTGGGTAATGAAAAAAAAAAAGACACTATCATAGTAGTGAAGAATAAGGAAAACAAAGATATTAATGAATATAGCTATAGTATTTCAACATATCTTTTAAACACTTCCTGGTCAATAGCATACCCCATGCTCATAATCTTCAACAAGAAGATCGTGTGGTATAGTGCATGGAATTTTGGAATAATGGGAATAAGTATATCTGACTTCGAACATTTTTAACAACTGCCTGTGTCATCATGGACAAATTATTTTACTTTTTGTCATAAATTTTCTATCTTTGGGAAGAAAAAGTTAGGTGAAATTTTCTCTAATACTAGTACCAAAAAAATCCATGATAGATTTGAGATGATTTCATGAAAGAGAACTACATTAACCATTCACTTATTCTTAATAGTAAGTTCTAACATTAAGAAAACATGAAAATATACAAGTAATTTTTTATCATAATTTTGTAAGAAATTGAGTTAGTAAATGTCCTGGGGCCAGCCGTTAGTCTAGCTCTTTTATATCTTGCTGATGCTGTTATGTTTCTTTGTTTCAAAGGTCAGCATTCTGCTAATTAACAGAAGAACGTTTTTATTAAGGTGAATGAACAGTTTTATTTTACACTTTTGAATAGAGCTTGATTGTGGACACAAAGGTTCAGATTCTGCCAGCCTACTTTTTAAAATTTAAAAATGTATATCCAATTATTTTATGGGATAGGTGGTAGGTTCCAGAATGGAGTGGTAAGGGCATACAATTCATCAGGGATTTTATATAATATCATCACAGCCAGATACTGAAAACATTTAAAATTTTATTCTCTTTTAAAATACTTTAATTTTTCTTCATTTATGTTTGCTACTATTTGTTTTTTTATATATCATGAGGCCTCAAATGTTACTCAAAGACTAATGTTTAAAACATTCTATATCTTAACTGTGAATGATTTACTTTAATTTCGTATTTAACCACCAAATAAGAGTATTGTTAAGGTATAATTTTTTTTTTGTGTTAGAGCTTGTCAAAATATAAATACCATTTTCAACTTTTAAGTTACTTGGTCGAATCTTTCTGTAACTGGCAAGTATCTTATTGGAAAGTATCTTTAATTCCATTTTGAATTTGTGATTAAAAAGTACAACCCTGTTGAGTACTTTTGAGAAGAAATGAATTTTATCTTGAGCATGTCTCTCTCTACTCAGTTTAATGTGTTTTTATAAAATATACAATTTACTAACTTGTTTAATATACACTATACCAAAGAGATATCTAATACTCATGGGTTATCTAGTCATGATGGGGATACAAATAACCTTCTTGGACTATTTTAGTATAGATTCTATATTTGAGCATATTTGAATATTCACTAAGCAGCCTAAAAAATTGATTTGCAGGGGCTGGGTGTGGTAGCTCACGCCTGTAATCCCAGTGCTTTGGGAGGCCAAGGCGGGCGGATCACCTGAGCTTGGGAATCCGAGAACAAGTTGACCAACATGGAGAAACCCCGTCTCTACTAAAAATACAAAAATTAGCAGAGCTTGGTGGCGTATGCCTGTAATTCCAGCTATTCGGGAGGGTTAGGCAGGAGAATTGCTTGAACCCAAGAGGCGGAGGTTGCCTTGAGCTGATTATTGCACCGTTGCACTCCAGTCTGGGCAACAAGAGTGAAACTCCATCTCAAAAAAGAAAAAAAAAGTTCACGTGCAGGTCATGTTTCAGTCTTAGAATTATTTTTCCAACGTCCTAACTTTCGATAGGTTATATTTTGGTAGATAGCATATTGTAATTATGTAAATTTGTACACAATTGTGTATAAATTGTGTATAAATCTTATATGCTTTGCCTTTTTAGCAGTATTGTAATACATTTTCAGTGTTGGTACTTATGAAGAGGCAAATAGTGTGTTATTGAAAATGCTTAACTATTTGGATGCAATAAATTTGTGGAAAACTGTTTTCTTGTTCAAGCATTTAATTTTAATAATAATGTTACTTTTCTTAATCATGAGAGTTGAAGTAATTTGTTATTATGTTATAGAGGCTAGTTTGTAGCCAAAGAAGTTTTGAAATTTTGAAATTTAGGACGTAAATACTTTTAATTCCCCGAACACACATGTATATATATTTGTGTGAAAATTTTGCAACAGATTTAACTATTATTTTTATTTTAAAGCTATGATAGCTTTTGAAGGCATTTAAAAAACTTAGTCATATCCTGAATATTTTAGTAAATGTGACTAAATTTCTGTTTTCACATACTATTAAGTAGCATCACTTACATTTGAAGGTAAATGTATACTATTATGAGATAGAGTGCTCTAACCTGTAAATTAATTTCTATTTAAATGCATTTACTTAATGAACAAGGACAAAATATTATAGGCTGATCAACACTTGTATGTTTCTGGTTTAGCTTTTTTTAAAAAAGATGTAGACTAATCATATATTTTGAATTTTACATAACTGAAAATTTCAAATTTTAGAGCTTAGGCTTAATGTAATTTTTCAATGGCTGAATAATAATACCAAATAGATTGTCAGGTTTTAAAATTTATACACACAATTTTAAAGTCATATATTTGAATGTGCTGTTAGGGTATTGTTTCGTTGGCCTTTCAAATACCTGTTAGTTGCATTTTAAATTGGTTCTTTGAAAAGACATCCATTTATATAATTTATTGTGCTTTCAATTCAGTAATTAGGCTGGCATTGAAAATATATAATTCCTTTATGTGTTCAATATAACTGGGGATATTTTGACCAAACATTTTCTAATAATATCATATATTTTACTATCTGTACTGTGTATGAACCTCAAGTAATAAGATAGCAGTGTGTTCAAGCTTTAGCAGTATTAGTTTTGAGATTATTAAGCTATGGTTGTCTTTAGAGATTGCATAGTGAATAATCACTGAAGGGACCATTTATCTCAAAAAAGAATTATTTTTTGAAATTTCTTTATTTGTTTATTTTGCAGGATGTGAAAAATATTTAAAATTGAGCTTTTGAGAGCAAAATAACAAATTGCTAGGTTTTTCTAAATAAGCATTCTTTTTCCCTGTCAACTTTGACTAAGAGCTGAGATTTCTACATGGATGTCTGCTCCCTTATCAAACACATTTACTTTATTGTTGAAATATGCTTAATTGGGTAAAGTAATACTCCACATTTTTTTCTCGTAATTTCTCTGTGGGTGCAACTAAATGATTTTTTTTCATAGAAGCAAAATTTGATGTGGAGATTGCTTAAAAAAAAAAATTGTCCCCTTGTTAATAGATGTTCTATTTAATTATAGTGGGACTAGACCATGGTATTTTAAATTTCCAAGTATTGTATCATTTGATAATAATTTTGTGTTTCAAACTAGAAAATATGCTAATGATTTTTTTTCCCACTGGCTTGGTGTGGGTATTGTGTTGATGAAGGCTGTGTACTGTTAATCCAACGTATTTTCGGAAGAAACTAATGATTTCTGGATGTTATTTATGCCTGAGAAGATATTTAATGATTGTTTACCTGATTTCAGCAAAATTAATGACATGGATATATTACAAGTCCCATAATCATTTGATTTTCACTTGACTTTCATTTTAAACACTTTTTCAAATGTCTTTTTCCTACACGTTTTCTATTCTCTATGCAAATGTGCTAAATTTGGAATAATTTTCTTTTTCTTTTGATAGTTCTGTTTGGTTAGCCAAACTTCCTTGATTCTCTTTTATTGTACTTGAAAAACAAAGGTGGCATGTTAAATTAAGTATTTTACTTGTTTTTCCATTTGAGTAAGGGTTTTAAATATCTAGCAATTTTAAGGTAATTTTCTTTTTCGATTTCCCTTGTCTAATAGTGCAGGTAAGTATTGCAAGTCGTTATAACACAGGTGTCCAGCCAGTAGATAGTATCTATTTGTAGATATCTAAACTGGCTGTAGTTGTTACTGGTTTTCTTTTTTATACTAGAATTCCCAGTAAGGAAATAAATATGATGTGTAGTGGTGACCTTTGTTCTTCTGTGCTCAAGATTTA